TAGTTCCCTCATATGTTATATAAAGTCTATCCCATATGTCCTTCTCACTTTTGCAAGTGGAAACCCGCATGTAGTTCTTCGATTTAAAGCACCAAAAAGAAACTATTCAAATATTTAGCGTTTAGTTTGCTAAGACGTCATGTTCTTCTACCAATAAAAGTCTTCAAAAAGTGTTTTCAACTTTTTACTCCATCAACTAATCTAGTGGTTTTATATATCCTTCCTAGACTAAGATCCACATACGATAATCAAGTGATTGTAAGAAAGTAACATGCATGTTTTCCAAAATTAAAAGGTATATTGTCAAAACAGTGGAGGTCTAGATAGAAGTAACTTCCAGGTGTGTTTCAGTTTCCAAATGTAGCCATCTACGTTAACAAAAAGTAGTTTAAACTTATGATTTTAAAACAAAGCTCTGTTACCACTTATTGAGTTTAGTGAATAGGTTGTTATACCTAAGTAATGTCCCAAGCTACCCAGAGGGGGGGGGTGAATTGGTATTTTAAAAAATTATCCATCTTTTAGATAAGTTGAACATAAAAAAACTTAATGATTTTATAAAATGTTTTTCAACCACAATTTTTTAAACAAAAAAAAATGCAGAAAATAAAAGCAGTAAAAATAATGACACAAGATTTATGTGGTTCGGTCTAAACCAGACCTACATCCACTCCCTAGAGGCACCCTCAGAGTATTGCACTAATACCAATAGTGTCTCTCCTTTTGTACCCACAGCAAGGTGGAGAAGCCTTTACAAACACTCTTTCCACCACTACTCGGTGTGGCAGATAACCGTCATCCTTTTACACTATCCCAGTGTTGGCAGAGAACTATTCATCCTTTCACACTCTCCTAGTGTGGGCAGAAAAAACTCTTGTGTCCTTCTCACACTCTCCTAGTGTGGGCAGAGAACCCTTCGTCTTTCACACTCTCCTGTGTGGGCAGAGAACCCTTCGTCCTTTCACTCTCTCCTAGTGTGGATAGAGAACCCTTCGTCCTTTCACACTCTCCTAGTGTGGGAAGAAGAACCCTTCATCCTTTCACACTCTCCTAGTGTGTGTGGACAGAGAACCCTTCATCCTTTCATACTCTCTTAATGTGGGTAGAGAACCCTTCATCCTTTCACACTCTCCTAGTGTGGGCAAAGAACCCTTGATCCTTTCACACTCTCCTAGTATGGGTAAAGAACCCGATCTCCTTGACAGATCTCCTCACAAGAAATCTAGAAGGAAGAAAGAAAAGTGTGAAGTAATCTCAAATCACAAGTAGGAAATCTTATCTTTGAACATCAAGCGAAGCCTTCACGCCTAGTGGTAGGAATCCTCCTTTGAATGTTCTCTCACACTCTCTCCTTAACTCTTCTTCCAATAAGCACGAAGTTCAATGAACAAAAAGATTTGGTGGCAGTAAAAATTGTACCTTATATAGGCGAGACAAGAAAAACCATCCAAAACTACAAAATTTTCAAGTTATCACGAAATGGATCGTCTCGTACGATCGTGGATTGTCCCGTACGATCGTGGATCGTTCCGGACTATTTTACTTAAAGTGTCAGAAAAAATCTTGATGTATAATTGTACGAACTATATTCGTACATGCTTATCATCCCGTACGAACTAGGTTCTTCTGGTATGAAATGGTTATTGCATAGGTCGGTTCCCAAATCCCTGCAGGACGTAACCAACTGAGGTAAGTCGGTTCAGTTCATCCTGGGACGAACAAGTTTGATCCTGGATGATTTTATACAGAGGGTTTCATCCAGAGACGAAGGTTAATTTTATCCTGTATGATTTTATACATAGAGTTTCGTCCAGAGACGAACCATGCATTTCATCTGGACGAACAGTGCAAAGTGAGAATCCCGAGACGTTCATCCCGGGACGAATGTTAAATTTGTCCTGGATGATTAGGACTTTGAAAAATTTTCTCCCTGCCTATTCGATCCATTGCTCTTCTGAGGTCTTAATTGGCACGATCGTCCTGTACGAACTAGGTTCGTCCCATACGATCAGTTCACAAAAATTGTTCCCCTAAGTGTGTGTGTTGTGATTTTTCACTCAATTACAATCACTCCCTCTCAATTCAAAACTTATAATTTACAAATAAATATTTACTAAATTTGATTTGAAGTCTTCATATCTTGGAGTTGATTTTCCTAAAATGTTAGTACACACTAGAGCAAAAACAAATCTTCCAAAAAAGTGTTAGGAGATATATATACCTAAAACAATAATATTTGAAATCATCAAAATAATACAAATTTCAAGAATGTAAAATATGCAAATAGCAACTCTCTTAACAAGGTTCGTAAAGTCGAACTACTGATCCATCTTCTGAATAACATTGTTTAACTTTCTTCATGTCCACCTTAATGTAAAGATGCTTCAACCATGGATTTCCCGTCCTACCTTCCACTGCCTCCAAGTGAGAATAGGATCAGAGGCATTCTCACAACAATCTGATGTTCCACATGGATTCTCCCTATAACCCATCACTTTAATAGCTACAGAATCAGGTTTCGTATTCACAAACCTATTCACGAACAACTTCATGCCAGAAGATGAAGATTCCATAAGAGAATTGCTACGAATACCAAGAGAAGTATTCGAATTCACCTCTTCCATGATCTGCTTCCCTTTACATTACATCGGAGTTGTTATAAGAGCTTTAGCTTCAGTCGGTTCCTTGATTTGCAGAATACCATTTGATCAAAAAGCGTTCTGACCAGGTAATCGTTTCAAATTATCTAGTTTCATAATCAAATTTTGGCCATCACCGACGGATGAAAGACGGTCATCCATGTCCCGCTAAAAATACTCCCACAAGAGCCGAAGATGAAATTTGAAAAAAAAACATTAAAATCCTGGAGTTTCGCTCTCTAACTATATATAAATGTGATGTTTTAGTTGTGTAATGCAGGAAAACATAAAAATGTTATAAATTGTTAAGTATCTTCCAGCACTCTAGTGTAAGACAAATCAATTTCACAATGCCATTGAAGGTACCAACGTATTTATACAATATTTTCATAGAGGCTCTTACTTCTCTATTTGATAGCACTATGATATTAAAATTGTAAGCTTTGTAGTGCCATGTTCACTATCTTCAATCGCCATGGTTTCGCAATTTATCATGCCTCAGTTCCAAAATTTCTACCCTAGCACCTCAACATTAAAAAGTTAGTAGTGTTGTGGTGTAGCAATTATAAATTACAAAGGATATGATTTATCATCAAAATGATACAAATGTTTACTAAGTAAGTAATCCATACCAGCAAGTGCCACAATGGGCCTAAAATAGTAGCACACGGGTGTTAGTTCATTTTATGGGCATAGTGGCACTGATCTTTCAAGCGTTGTAGTGTTAGCTTCCTACTTTATGTTTTCCTATAAATAATTATTATGTTATGTTTGAAATTGAGTTTAGTCATGTTTATAATTTTAGTATTTTTTATAGTACTTCTTTAAATCTCTCTTAGAGTACAATCTAAGATTGACCAAGGAAATACTATATATAATCATTAGAGTGCTAGACAGTATTTATTTTAGCAACTCCATACATTATTGAATAAGAAGTGCAGAAGAGATACATTGATCATTCCTAGTTATATTATTCTCTTATATTTTTGTTCATCTATGATTTAAAAAAAAAAATGAGTTTGCTTATTCTTTCTTCCATTTCTAGCTAATTATTTACTTTTGGATTGATAATATAGAAAAAATATTATGTACTAATGAAAATTCTTGTGCTCTAATATTAAATATTATTTTTGAAACTATTCCGCTCTTTATTTAATGCTCATAGTAGTCAAATATATAGTTAAAACCTAATGTGATGTATAGCCTCGACGGAGGAATGCTAGAACAACCAGATTATATTTGCATACCTAGATATAGGTTGTAAAATTTGTTAGGTTATTAAGGAGATGATTTAATTGTAGTAGGTCAACATATATCCTTTTTCAACCCTAAAAGCTCGATAAAGATCTAGGTATGCATATGTTTTGAATCACATTAAAAATAAGAATTTTATTAGGAAAGATAGGTAATTTACATTTATTAATCCAAAGCACTTTATTTAAATATTGTATCCATTATTTCACAATTTTTATTTAGTGATTGAATATCCATAACCAACAATCTCATTTCTTTAGGAAAAATTTGCAAGAAAGTAAATAGTAATTTTTTATTGCTAAAATACTCTATCCTCTTATTGCTTGATTTTGCATGTATGCTTGCATATATTTGGTGTGATTTATTATTTATATATTACAAAAAAGAAAACCAAAACATTCTTTAGGGTAGATAGAGCCTTAAACATTTTTATAATTTAAAGTTGCACTCCACAGTAACCCATCCATGAAGTTTTTGGAAACATTGCTTGTGAAGTATTTCACTTTTTTTCAAAATTTTAATTATATTTTGAATTATTTATATAGTTATACTTACTTCCATTTTATTTTATAATTATTTTTAATTGATTTGATCACTAATTATAATATATTTTTGGTTGCATGCTTTATAGCCATAGAAATAAATTTTTTTTTTCATTTGATCTTTAAATTGAGAGAAACCTTTCTTAAAATCTAGAAAATCAAAAAGATTTTAATAATGACTCAATCTGAGTTAGAAAAAATTCATTCTAGACATCTTAAGGATTATGCAAACCCTTTAGTTGATAGAAATCATGAAAGAATAAATATGCCTATAATCCAAGCTAATAAATTTGAATTAAAAATAGTTATTATTCAAATGATTTAAAACATGCAATGTGGAGGAATTTATGTAGAATATTCCAATTTATATTTGGTCGGCTTCTTAAAAATTTATGCAACATTTAAGCAAATTGGTGTCGGAGATGATGCTATTGGAATTGGATTCTTTCCCTTTTCTTTAAGAGATAAAGCTAAAATATGGTTGAATTCTTTACCACCAAGCTATAAAACTACTAGGAATGCTCATATTTTTCTTGCTAAGTATTTTCCACCTTTAAAAACTACCAAACTTCAAAATGTCATAACTTCTTTTAATCTGTTTGAATGAAAATCCATTTATGAGAGTTGGGAAAGATTTAAGAAGATGCTTAAAAATGCCCTCATCATGGATTACCTGATGGGTTTGTTATTAAAATATTTTATAATATATTAATAGGATCTCTTAAAGTTATAATTGATGTTGCAGTTAAAGGATCATTAGTAACTAAACCATTTGAGGAAGCAAGTGAAATAATAGAGGAAATGGCTATTAATAAATTCATATGGCCTCGTGATGGGGTAAATACTAAAAAATAGGTAGAATTTATAAATCTAATGCTTTATCAATCTTGATTGCACAAGTTCTTATAATTTTTAAGAAGTTGAATACAATAGGTGAAAATCCTAGAATAGGAACTAATTATTTTGTAGATTAAAATTTCATTAAAGATAATAATATGTAAGGAATTAAAAATATTAATATAATTAGAATACAAAATTATCCCTATTCAAATACCTATAATTTAGGTTGGAGGATCCATCGTAATTTTAATTGGTCAAATAATAAGGGTGGTAGTAATCAATTAAATAATTAGCAAAATAATCAAGGAGTAAATTGAAGCACTTCTCAAAAACCCACTGTTAATCCTTAGACTTACATATCCTCCATGATTTAAACATAGAAATAAACTTGGAAATAAAAAATTAGCATTCGAGGTTGTAGTTACACATTTAGGGAATCAATTGCAAAATCAAGTTGCTTTTATTAAAATTTGAAAACTCAATTAAGTCAGCTTACAATTTTAATCAGTAGTAGACCTCTTAGATCTTTACCTAGTAATACTAAATTTAGTCCAAAATAAAAATAGAAATATCTTAATAATGTCATTTAAAGAATGGAAGTAATATACACTAGCCAAATTAAAAAATCAATGCAACTCTGGCTAAAGATTACAAACTTAGCACTCTATAAGAGGCAACCCATAATGAGGTTTAGTATGTTATTAAGTCTGTCTGAACGGTATAAACTTACCACTTCAAGGGAGGAAACCCAGTTTATAGCTTTTGTGTGATTAGTAGTTGTTAATTTTATTAATTTTTTATTATTTTTGCTTAAAAAGAACCTTTAGAGAATGAGTGCCTCAGCACTCAGTTAGGACTTTGTGGTTTAAAAATTCTCTTCACCTGAAAATTTAAAAATGGTATGTTGGAACATTATGTCTCAATCCTTGTCAATTTTTAAGTATAGTGTTATCTTTCTCTTCCTAAAAATTCAACTAAAGTGATGAGTGGAACCAAGCAAAGGCATTCCTCCTCTAGGATTAGAAGTGAAGAACATTTGAAAAATGAATATTCTTTTTCTCTTTTGCATATGCAATATTTTACTGGCATTAATAAACTTAATACGCTATATGATGAAATTCATGAAGATACAAGGCATATACTAAGAAATTACATAAAAGTGAAGTTTTAGATTATGAATTTCATCCTGCTCAAGTTATTCTATGATTTGATTATAAGAAGAAGTGTTGCCACAGAAAACATTAATCTAGATGGGTTGGTCCATATATTGTTATTAGAATTTATCTCAATGGTGCCATCAGCATTCAAGATAAGAAAACCTTTCAAATTTTTAGTTCAATGGTCATAGATTGAAATTATGTGGATAAGATGAATTAGGAAATCTTAAATTTGGATAAATGGAGGATGTGTATCTATATCTTTACTTTACTTTATATCTTTTAGAAGAGAATACATTTATGTGAGTAACTAGTATATGTAGTGTGAGCATAATTTATTGTATGTTATTTATAGTGCCTAGTTTACTAGTTTTCTTATAACTTATTTTATGTTTATGAATGTTATCACTTGTTTTATGGGTCTTTTATCATTCATATGAAAGCTTGTGTAGTGTTAATTATTAATTATATTTTTTTATTTACATTTTATTGAAATTATCCTCATGCTTACTCAAATTGTCATTATTTTTTATATTTTGATTATTTATTTAACATTAGTAAAAATGATAATTATAAATTATGTAAAATAAGGATAATAATAAAACCCCAGATCATAATTCAAATAAACCTTGTTTATACTTCATAGAGTGAAAAACTAATAATTAACTAACTCAGACCATTTATGTTGTTGCTTTAATTTGAAATTATAGGTTATACCTTTTTGCATTAATTTTTGTAATAAATATGAATGGTCAGAATTATAGATTAGGTATGAATAGATTAAAATTGGAAATCATAAGCAACACTAATTTTGATTTGGTAAACATATTACATTCTTTTATAAAATTCATTAAGATTGCCAAAGGGTTCGAAGCAAAATCTTCAAAATTATTAACTATGTACTCTAAAAAAAAGTAAAATAAATACAAAAAGAACAATGAAATTAGTTCCAAAAAGAAAAAAAAAAGGTGGTGAACTCATGAAAGTTTCAATTTTAACTACTAATATATCTATACATATACCTATATTTTTCACTTTAAATTTAAAAAAATAATAATTAAATTAATAACCTAAAAATTCAAATTATGCAATAATGACTAATTCATGTAATTATTAGTATTTTTAAAACTAGAACTATATTCTTATTCATTTTTGCTACTTCTAGATCAGGATATATTATCCTATATTTTAATAAATTTAAATTATCAAATTTTACTTGAAATTATTAATTAATCAAAATTATAAAATTTTTATTTTTTAAGGAAAACAAGAATTTAGGCTGGGAAGAATTTGATAAGTTGAAATATTGTATTATTTTATGTGTTATATTTTCATTGAAAATATATTATTTTAGTTTTGTTGTGTATAAAAAATACAAAAAATGAACAAAATTTTAAGTATTATCTAGAGCCGCAGTGTCAGTCACTTAATGCCACAACACTTTCGATGGCATCGCCAGATCGCTATAACATTTATATATAGGCACTAACATTGCTATTGGACAGCACCGTAGCTTTAAAAAGGTCAACTTTGCAATGTTATGTTCATTATCTCCAAATACATGGCATTGCAATCTATCATTCCTCGTCACCAAAATCGCAACTCTAAGGGCATAGGGTTCGAAAGACAGTAGTGTTGTTTCAAAACAGTTGTAACTTCCAAAGTACACAATCTGTTAGCAAAATGATTCAACTGTTCACTAAGTAATTGATCCACATTATCAAGAGTCATGATGGAGCTAAAATAGTAACATAATGACATTAGTTAATTTTATGGGCTTAGCAGCACTAATCTTTCAAGATCCATAGTGCCAGTTGCCTACTTTTATTTTCCTATATAGATTTATTGTGTTATGTTTGTAAGGAAGTTAAATCACTTATATAATATTAGTACTGTTTATTATACTTATTTTGATCTCTCTTAGAGTACAATCTAAGAGAGGCTAGGGAAGTACAAGATACAATCATTAGAATGTTAGCTATATTTATTTATCTAACTCCATACATTAAGAAAGAAGAAGTGTCTATGAGACACATCAATGCTTCATGGTAATATTATTCTCTTGTATTTTTATTCTTCTATTATTTCAATGCAAATGAGTTTGCTTATTTTTTTCTTTCAGGTTTGGCTAAATCTTTACTTTTGAATTGATAATGTAAAAAACATATTAGTATTAATGAAAATTCTTGTGCTCTAAAGTTAAATGATGTTTTAAATATTATCTCACTCTTTATTTAATGCACATAATAGTCATATATGTATTTAAAATCTAGTTTGATGTATAGCCTCGATGGAGGAATGCAAGAACAACTAGGAATATTGAAATAACATATTTGCATACCTAGGCATAGGATATAAAATATACTAGGTTATTATGGAGATGATTTAATTATAGGACTTCATCATATACCCTTTTCACCCCTACAAGCTCGATAGAGATCTAGAGATGCTTATGCTCTAAATCAGATTAGAAATAAAAAATTTGTTAGGAATGATATGCAATTTACATTTATCAATTCAAAGCACTTTCTTAAAATATTATATCTATTATGTTACTATTTTTATTCAATGATTGAATCTTCACAACAACAATTTTACTGTCGTAGGATAATTTTTCAATTAGAGTAAACAATAATAGTTGATTGTTGAAAGGCATATCTCTCCACAGGTTTGTCACTCTACACTATCACTTTATTACTTGATTTGGCATGTATAATTGTATATACTATGTGGGGTTTATTATTTTTATATATCAAAGAAAAACTAAGCATAATTTAGGGGAGATTAAGAATTAAATATTTTTATAATTTAAAATTAAACTTCATAGTAACCCAACCACAACCACCCCATTATGCATAAGTGAAATAACACTTATCAAAACTTCATACAAAATTTAGCATTATCTACTATGAAAAAGCATTCTATAGATTGTCCATCTAGAGTTCACATAATAAATTTAAAGGTATGATCAATTGAATAAAAAATCCATAGCCTTCAAAGTTTTGACAAGAAAGAACTATTGCACTTCTTGATTGCTAATGTCAGTATTATGTGTTTCTCAACTCAAGGATTGAGTGCCAAGGTTATTTTTATAATTTTCATATTATATTATAGGCAGTCATGTTTGTTAGAGGAATAACACATTTACTTAAGTACAATTTTATTTATTCTGATTCAAATAACACAAGCAATAAACCCTTTAGTAATACCAACCATTAATGATTTCAATATCATCTAATGTCAACATAGGTTTGCACAAGATTTCCTAATTAAGGGCCTGTCTTCTTAAACCTATAAAAATTATTTTTCTTGAATGGTTACTGTTTATTTCCTCATCCTTTTTGACATAATTATTTGTTTATATGGCTTTTATAGATGTGATTAATTTTCTCCAATTAATAACTTTGTAACCAAGTGTTTTTGTGCTTTGTATCATCTCATATTATTATTAGTAAATTATTGGTTCAATTGTTTTCATGCAATAACTTGTAAATTTTTAGGTAAGATATAACCATTACTGCATTGTTTAGCATATCCTTAAGGTAATATCATTATAATAAGGTATTGTTTCCCATAAGAATTAAATTGTCTCCTCTTATACTCAGCTTTACTTGGTGGTTCCAATAAATCATTCTTGCCATGCATTTTGCTTTGAATTATTTTGTAAAATGCATTCATGGGATATTTAGTTTATAGAAATTCATTTAATTGGGTAGGATCATAATGCCAATATATAAATTATATGTTATCTCATATTTATATTATAAGGCATTAATAATTTTATGTGACCATTTTCTTTGGTTACTATAATGTAAGTTATTAGTTAAACTTTATTCTTTAAAAGGTAATTGATAAGGAAATAAATACATTTCCATGACACGTAATTATAGATGGGTTGCCTCTTCTAGTTATTTCTTTTCTCAATCATGATCATGTCATAAGTTGGAATGTAAACATGCTAACATATTATGATACTTAGGTTCTGCTATTGATAAGTGTAAATTATGTGCATTTTATATATTTTATTTAGTTATTTTTTGTAGAAAAAAATCCAAAAATGATAGAAAGTCTAAGGAGACTACAATGTCATGATGTCTCACAAAATAACATCATTGTACAACCTTCAATATCACCAGTGCCACAACATCAAAAAGTCAACATGGTAGCATCAGATTTTACATTTTAAATGTCGCAACATCCTAATTTCCCATGCCTTAGCACCATTTTTTCCACTCGAGCACCACAACACTCAAATTTCAAAAGTGTCACGGTGTTGTAGTTTTAATTTCCAAGGGCCACATTCTCTAAGTGAAGAGACAAGACAGTTCACTAAGTAACTGATCCACATCAGCAAGCATTATGTTGGTGAAAAAGTTTCAACACGGAGGCATTAGTTCACTTCAATGGCACCGTAGCACTACTCTTTCAAATGCCATAGTGCCGGATGCCTTTTTGGGTTATCCTATAAATTGTTTTTATGTTATGTTTGTAAGAGAGATTAGTTACATCTATAAATTTTAGTACTTCTTTAGTTCCCTCTTATAAAAATTTTTAAGAGAGGTTTTGAAAGTAGAAGATACAATCATTTAAAGTATTTAGCCTATGTTTCTTCAAAGAACTCTATAATTTAAGGGAGAAGGAGTTTGGAAGAGATTATTTGATCATTTCTGGTGTTATTACTCTCTTGTATTTTCATTCCTTCATGAGTTTAATGAAAATGAGTTTGTTTGTCATTAATTTTATGTCTAGCTAATTCTCTTATTTTTTTATTAATGATTTAAAGTGCATGTTAAGCACTACTGAAAATTCTTATTCTATAAATATTAAATGAGCTTTTTAATATTATACTGATCTTAATATAAATGCACATAGTGGCTAAGTATTTTCCACCTTAAAAGATTATCAAATGTATAAATGATATTACTTGTTTTACCTAGTTTCAAAGAGAAACAATTTATAAGAGCTTTGAGAGATTTAAGGAAATGCTTAGGAGATGCCCTCACCATGTTTTAACATATTTTATAACGGATTAGTATGATCTTTTAGAGTAATCATAGATGCTGGAGGATCATTAATATCTAATCCATTGGGTAAAGGATATAAATTAGTAGAGGAAATGGCTACTAATAAATTTTAGTGGCCTATTGATAGAGTAAATCCTAAGAGGGTATTAAAAATTTGGAATATGATGCTTTGTCAATGTTGACTACACAATTTGTAGTCATTTTTTAAAATTTAAGCGTTATATGAGTAAATTCTTGATTAGGAACTGGACCATCTATGTAATAGAAGGATAAAAATGAAATTATCAATAGTAATGTGCATAAGATTAAAAATAATAATTTGATTGGAAGAGAAAATAATTTTTACTCTAATACATATTATCCAGGTTGAAAGAACCATCCTAATTTTAATTGGTCAAATAATGTTGTAGGTAAAAATTCAATATAATTATAATTCAAATAATCAAGAAATAAAAAGAAAAAACCATCAATAACCTATAATTAATCATAGACCTATATATACTCTAGGTTTTAATCAAAGTATTTTGTTAGTATTAAGAAAATCATCATTTCAAGATGTAATGATGTAGTTAGGGACTTAATTATAAAATTAAGATGCTTTTATTAAATGTTTGCAAATCTAATTAATTCAACTTTAATTTTGATCAGTAGTAGACCTCTTGGATCATAGCCTAGCAATACTAAAGTTAACCTAAAGGAAAAAATAAAAATATCCTATTGAAAATCATTTGAAGAATGGATGCAATATACACCAAACAAGTTAAAAAATATAAGCAAGTCTGGATTAAAACTAAGTATTTGTCACTAATGGGAGGCAACCCACTTGTATATTTACTAAACTTAGTGTGATGGTGATAATTTGCTTTAAGCACTAGCTATCTTATTTCCTGTATTTTAGTTTTATATTTATTATATGTTTTTTCACTTTTTTATCATTCATATAAAAGCATATATTATTTACCTATATTCATTTATGTTTTTTTTTCATTTAATAAAATTCTCCTTATACTTATAATTTTTTATTACTGTTCATTAATATGTTTATATTTTGATTATTTAATTTACCCTAATAAAAATAAAATTTTAAAAATACATTATATAATGCTTTATAGGTTATTGCTAGGGCGTCCCCTCGAAGCGACGCGCTGTATGGCCTGAATACAGTGACAAGTGTGCAAGCACCGGCGCCCGAGTGCAGTGTTAAATAGGCAAGGGTTCCCACATCAAGGACGTATGTGGGCAAAGAAGCTAGTCCATGAAACTAAAATTAGGATAGGAACTTGGAATATAGGTTCCCTTACAGGAAAATTAATAGAATTAATAGATATTATGATTCATAGGAAGTTAAATATTTTGTGCATTCAGGAAACTAAATGGGTTGGAGATAAGGCTAAGGAAATTGATAATTTAGGATTTAAACTTTGGTATTCGAGTAGGAGTCGTACTAGAAATGGTGTAGGTGTTATTATAGATAAGAGTTTAAAGGATAATGTTATAAAAATTAATAGGATTGGAGATATAATTATAGCTTTAAAGATTGTTGTTGATGATAAGATTGTTAATATTATAAGTGCTTATGCTCCTCAAGTAGGTTTGGATATGAGTTCTAAATTAAATTTTTGGAATGACTTAGAAGAATTAATACAAAATATACCTCTTGGAGAAAGAGTTTTTATTGGAGGAGATTTAAATGGACATGTTGGTAGAGAGGTAGATGATTTTAAAAGCATTCATGGTGGCCATGGATTTGGAACGACGAATGAAGGTGGCAAGACCATATTGGATTTTTGTTTAGCTTATGATTTTTTTATTGCTAATACCTTATTTAAGAAAAGGAATGAGCATCTCATCACTTATAAAAATGGATATAATACAACCCAGATTGACTATTTTCTTATTAGAAAATTAAATCGTTTAGATTGCAAAGATTGTAAAGTTATTCCGAGTGAAAATTTATGTACCCAACATCGATTATTAGTTTTGGACTTTAAGATAAAGGGGCATAAAATAAAAAATAAAGTAAAACAATTTTCTAGGATTAAATGGGGGCATTTAAAGAATATTAACAAAAATATTTTTGGAAATAAGATTTTAGATCTTAAGATTTTGTCTGTGCATGAGGATGCTAATATTATGTGGGAAAAAGTGGCTACTGATATTAAGAATATTGCAAAAGATGTCCTTGGAGTATCAAAGGGAAAAGCTCCCAATAGTAAAAATAGTTGGTGGTGGAATCCTAATGTGCAAGAAAAAATTAAAAATAAGAAGCTTTGTTATAAAAATTGGTTTAATTTTAAAAATTATGATAATTAAGAAATATCATAAAGTGGCTCAAGAGTTAAGACACAATATCGATGTAAAAGGCATTAGCTTTTGATTTATAATAAATTAGATACTAAAAAGGAAAGATATATGTATATTCGCACAACAAGAGATAGTAGTAAATGTATTCAGTTAAGTGTATTTAAAATGAAGATCAAAAAACTTTTCTTAGAAGATTGATATTCAACAAAGATGGATAGATATTTAGCTAAACTTTTAATGAGATGGGAAAATAAGATTACTATTGTACCTTAGCACCCTAGATTGGAAAATAAAGAATTATAGTTTATCAGACGTAATTGGAAAACTGAAGTTAATGAGGCTGTTAAAAGATAATGAAGGTGTAAAGAGCTGTGACTGATATATTCAAGATAGGTGGTGAAATGCTTAAGTGGAGATGAATCTTCATGCTACAAACTTATTTAAATCTATTAGACTAAGAAATGCCAGATGAGTGAGAATGAGTTGTTATTCCATTTTAGATAAATGATGTACAAATTTGCGAATTATAAGGTATATATGTAATTGTCATACTTATAAAACTATGGGAGCGAGTTGGAGCATAGGTGCGGCGTGATACTAATGTTTCTCAAAATCAATTTGGATTTATGCCGGGTAGGTCGACTATGGAAGCCATACATTTATTCAGAGGTTTGATGGAAAAATATAGAGGAAATAAGGAGGATCTACATATGATATTTATTGATTTAGAAAAAGCATATGATAAAGTTCCAAGAGAAGTGCTATGGAGAGTTCTTGAAAAGAAAGGAGTCAATAATGCTTATATTCAAATCATTAAAGATATGTATGCAGGAGCTATTACTTGTGTTCAAACACAAGGTGGATTGACCAAGTATTTTCCTATTTCGGTTGGGTTACAACAAGGATCAGTCTTAAGCCCATATATTTTTGCTTTAGTCTTGGATGTTCTCACTAGACATTTGCAAGAGTATGTACCTTTGTGTATGCTTTTTGCTGATGATATTCTTCTTGTTGATAAGACTAGAGAGGGAGTTGAAGGTAAACTTGAATTATGGAGGTCAACCTTAGAGTCTAAAGGTTTTCGCTTGAGTAGATCTAAAACGGAATATATGGAGTGTAATTTTAGCAGTAATAGTCCTAGTGAGGGGATTGTGACTTTGGGTGATCAAGTCATTAATAAGAGTACACGTTTTGATATCTTGGATCTGTTGTTCAGAGTGATGGTGAAATAGATGGAGATATTATCAGTAGAATTCAAGTTGGATGGTTGAAGTGGAGGAATGCATCGGGTTTGTTATGTGATAGAAATGTACCCCTCAAACTTAAGGGAAAATTTTATAAGATGGTAGTGAGGCCTGCAATGCTTTATGGTGCCGAATGTTGGCCATTAAAAGAGAAGCATAATACTAAGTTAAGTGTGGCAGAGATGAGGATGCTCAGGTGGATGAGTGGCTTTACCCTTAGAGATAGGATACGAAATGAGCATATACGTGAAAAGGTTGGAGTAGCTCCAGTAGAAGATAAGATTAGAGAAAGTCGCCTTAGATGGTTTGGTCACATAAAACGGCGGCCTTGCGATGACCCGGTTAGGAGAGTAGAGGTATTAGATTTGACTTATGTTAAGAAAGGTAGGGGTAGACCTAAAAAGACTTGGTTAGAAAATATTAGGAATGACCTTTCTTTATTAGATTTAAACGAGAATTTGACTTTTAATAGGACACAATGGAGAAAAAGGATTCATGTAGCCGACCCCATGTAGTGGGATAAAGGCTTGATGTTGTTGTTGTTGTTGTTGTATTAAATAATGCTTTATAATTCATAGATGAGAAAAACTAGTAATTAACTAACTTGAATCTTTTAAATTATTAATTTATATTTAATTTTTAAGTTATACATTGATCGTTGAATTGAAGATTAATAATTAAGGTTAAAGAATAGATTTGGGTATATTCAAATTTAAAATTATAGCATCCAAAATTTAGAATTCGTAATCATATTAAATCCATGCATTAAACTTTTTAAGATTATGAGAAGATTATAAGAAAAATTGATATTCAAAATTATTAACTATGTACTCCTCAAAAAATAAAAATGGTACATTCAAAAATTTATAACAGATAAAAGCTTAGAGCTTGGCTGTAATAGTACACATAAATTCATAATGGTTGCGTTAGGAGAACTAGTATAAATGATGGTGAACTAATGAAATTTTAATTTTAACTACAATCAAATATAATCTTAAAGCTATTTTTTTAATTCAAATTTTAATGTCATAAATTATAAATTTAAATTAAGCAATGATAAGGGTGATTGGTTTGGAAAATAAATAGTATTTTTTCAAACTAGAATTATTACTTTATTCATCTCTACTACTTCTAAACTGTAACATATTATCCTATATTTCAGTAATTTTAAATTATAAATTTTTACATTGACTATTTTATTAATCAGAATTACAGATTTCCTTATTTGCATGAGGAAAAGCAAGAGTTTAAGTTGGGAAAAATTTGTAAGTAAATAGAGAAGGATTGTAGATGAGATAGTTTGATCCTTTTTGGTGATATCACTTTCTTTTTTTTATTCTTTTATGAGTTTAATAAAATTGAGTTTGCTTGTCATTTATTCTATGTATGGCTAGTTCTCTTATTTTGGATTGATGATGTAAATTGCATGTGAAGCACTA